AACTAACTAAATTCACCTGAACATCAACAGAAACCAAATAAACCTGTCGGTATATACAGCTGGAGAAATTACATCAATTAAATTAAATTGTCTGAAAAGTGCTATGAAGAATTAGAAAATACAGTAATTATGTAATTACATTTATAATACTGTATTGACTCCAAATATAAATCAAATGTTGTTGTAAATAATAGATCACATATGTTGATAGATGCCAACAGAAAGGATCTTCTTAGATGGTCTGTCAAACCTTTGACTAAAGACACTGTGGTTGTTTAACAATCTATTGAAAATGATGAATACAACTGTTTATAACGTTCTTTATTTATAAATAATTTTTTAATTATTAAGAGGACTTTAGAGGGACGGAGCAAGCCGTCTTTATCAGCTTGTTAAGGTTCTTTAAAACATTTGCTCTGATGCTGCTAGCCAAGTTGACGATGGCAGAAGAGATCCCTCTCTTCAAGACAGAAACTGTATTTAGCCAAGGCCAGTTTTCAAAATTCATTCACATGTGTGGCAATTCTCATTCTAAGGTATCATGTAGCAAAAGTGGAGGAGGAATGACTCCCTTCTTCTACATTTGGATGAATAAGCATTAAATTCAGAATGGATGTGTTGTTCTCCACATATACAAAGAGGTTACTGTAACTGAAGAACCTTCCTCTGTAGGGTATTTCCAGAGCATGTTCTACAGCATGGAGTGAGCAGGAGTTAGCAAAACGTTTTACTATTTCTTACTACAGATAGAATATGTATTCTATTTACCATTATTATTTATTTGTTTCATCAAAAACTACATATCACTGTTTCTTAGCCATCATATCTCTTTAGTCTTAAGTAAAAGTAACAAGCTATAAAATCTGTTTCAATTTTCAAAGTGAATATCTTCTCTGACTGTGCAGATCTTACAAAGGTCATACAGTGATCATAGTGAAGTTGAAAACAGTTTTTTCACAGAAAAAAACAAAAAAACAAACAAAAACTAAACTTCTGAAAAGTGTGGAGAAATATGAAAACATGTACAGGCCTATCCTACAGTACTGTATACAATAATAGGATTTATACAGTTCTAAGGTAACAGTGTTGGAGTATGAGATTGGGTATACTGTAGAGTGGAAGGGTTACACTTAAAATGTATTTAACTGTTATAAAGACAGTCAGCAGTCCCCTTTACTGTTCATTTTTTAATGTTACAAAAAAAAAAAAAATCACACTATATTTTTAAGTGTCTCTCACACACAAATAAATACACTGGAACAATAAATGGAGCTCCTCTGTAAAATCTAGATTAACGCTTTAAAGCCTTGATAGAGTTAGTTCAGGGTGTATTAACAAAGCAGTTATGACTTATGAAAATCTTAAAGTTTACTTTGTTCAACAGGGAAGCGGCTTAGTCATGCATGGTGAAAATCAGTTGAAACTCATTTGGAAGAACCCTTAAAATACTCAAAGGACTGAGCTTCAGCCCACATGTTTACTTTCTAAATGTAAAAGCCAACAACAACTGACACTGACATTTGAATAATTATGCAGCTATACTGGCTGAGGATATTGTAAAGCATATAAAGGAGCCAAATGACTGACATGCACAGCCCCTGGCTGCAGATTAGCATATACTCTGTAAAAAAATGATAAAGTCTATCCATCCATCAAACATCTGGCACATTCTTTTACCCATATCATTTCTTGTCATGTGTACGCATACAGATGCCTTATGTTACTACATTGTGCTTGCTGGTCGGTGTGAGATTTACAGCTTTGGACAGGCTTTCTCTTGCCAAGAGGACTCATACCATAACAGCACTCCCCCAATTTATCCACTATGGAAGTTTGACAAGTTTTAATTGCCAGGCATAGTTGTCTGAGAAAGCAGGGCCGCCCAAAATGTCCCTACCAGCTCCCTCTCTAATTATAAACTTCCTGCTTGAGTAATCACACGTCTTATTGTTTCCTAATTACCATTTTTACAATAAATTAAACACCATGCTGCAGTGAGACAGGCACTGAGCAGTGCATCAATACTGACACACACACACACACACAAACCTCTGTAGAAGGCACCATCCATTCTTACTCTTCCACCTTGTCTTCAGTACATTTTCCCCAAACATACACGCTGTTATTGTTATCGGAAGTGCTTGTTCATTAATTCTCCTCTTTGCAACGTTTTTAAGGTTTTAATTTGCTGTCGTTTCAACAATGAGGGTTTGTGTAGAAAGCAAAATAAGGAATGCCTCAGGTGAAGTGTGACCATTTAATGACTATAACATGATATGTCTTAATGGGAGTCAGTCATTCAAAAAGCAAATTTGTATTCATAATCACCTCATACGACTAGGATTTGGATCTGTATCAGTAACTGAAAAAACAAATGACATGAACAATAATAGCAGCAGCAGAATATCTTACAAAGCACTGTGTGCTGTCTAATTCTGCCAAATTGGGTGAGAGGGTCTCCTACAAAGGTGAGCTGCATCATTAGTCATTCACTTGACACCTGCACTGTGCATCTGAAATACATCTGTAAAACTCAACAATATTTCATTGTAAGAACTAATCTAATCTGACAGCCAGCTCCTCTTGGCCTGAAAGTGTGGGATGAAATATTTCGTTCCTAGTGAAGAGAAACAGAGTTAAAGAGAATTAAACGCTGCAAAAGACATCGTGCTATTGTCATTTTCACATTTATTTAAAGAGGGATCTGAAGTACTTTTCTTTTAAAAATAAACTTTTCTTCATTTTAGCAGTAGTGCAATGAGAATGGGGTTTTTCTTTTTCCAACAGAGAGCCCAGTTTTAGTTTAGGTGATGGGAGTCTTCAAAGTAGAAAGAAATAAACAGGGTCATAATCAGGAGCCTATAATCCAAATAAAATCCTGAACCTCATTTTTCTTTTTAAACTTTCTATACTTTAGTAGAAAAAATATATTTCAATCAGATGTCATCATCCTGGGTAAAGCCAAATGATCTTATTTCGAAGTGCTTTTTAAATATACCAATACGAATCAGAACTGTAATGGTATAAGTGCTCCATGAGGAGTTCTTAAATTGTGCAAGATATATTATGGATGTCTTGCATTACAGCAACATACCATGGCAATTTATTTATAAAGCACTTAAAAAAGAACATCAAAGCTGCCCAAGTTGTCATAAAGCAGAAAATAAAAGACACAATGTAAGTGCACAAAAAAACAACAACAAAAAAGTCTACAAAAGCTAATAAGAGAAAAACAACAAACAAGTTACTGTAATGGAACAAAAGCTAATAAAAGTCATGGCAATTTTCTCATATTGCTTCAAAAACCTGAGTTAAAGTGTTTTTTTCAGATTTTAAGTTGCATCCCTTAATGTGAAACAGCAAAGCATGCCACAGGTCTGGAGCTGTGCTGAAAAAGCTTATTCATCCCTGTGTTAAAAAAGATCAGGTTCTCATGATCAGTATTTTTAAAATCAGGTTAAAATCTTACAGCAACAATAGTAAAGATTGGTGAAGTCCATGTTTAGGGTGTGATAATTGCAGACCAGAAATACTGCATATTTAGTAGCATGGAAAGGCTTAAAATGAGACTGGACTGAGAAGGCTAATGGCTACCAAATAAAGTTGCAAAGTTAGATTATATGCCGATACAAAAACAACCAAAAACAATTTGCTCATAATAAAATCAACTTGTATAGACCACTTGTCAGAAATAATAGAGCAACTGGTGGTTGTTTAATACCTATGTATAACTTATGTGTGCTGAGAAAAAAAGTGTTAATATCATGTGTTAAATCCTTTTACTTGCTTCCAGTATGTTTCTCTATTGTACTAAGAGGCTGCCTCGAACGACAATTTAACTACACCCATTTCCTATTTTTTTATTGGTTAATATCTTACTCAAAACAAGCACACTGACTGCTGAGTCAAAATCTTATTTTTTAGTTAAACATAAAAATCTTGAAAGAGGTTTGCAGTGATGAAAAAAGGCCTTTAATCACTGTCGTAACTACAGACAGGCCAGCTGACAGCTGGTTACATTTGTACATTTTTAAGTAAGCTTTTCTGGGTGCATGAAAGATGTATTAAATAGGTAATTATGTAAATAAATATTTATTATTTAGTACAGAAAGTATATTTATTTAGCCTATTTAATGCATGCATTACTAGTAACATTGACATTTTTACATCTGTAAATGTAAATCCTGAAACTTTTGAATTTATTGAATACAAGGCAGTTTTGGCTTTCCATATTGCTCCAGTGACAGTAGATCCCATTCATACACTTCTGCTTTTGTGACATGTTTAAATTTGAGCACAAACGTTATGGTCAATAGTGATGGACCTGCTGCCTGACCCAAGGACGGAAGGGAAAATTTAGGGTCTGTGTTTTCCTTCCTGCCTTTTTTTTGGCCAGACAGGACAATCTGCAGATGGAGGGGTTGGTCCAAGGCTAACAACACCCCCCCCTACCCTGGGCCTGGGAAAACTGACCCCCTTGTTGGTGGGCATTACTGTAGATACTGGTCAAAGAAGGCCAGTGGCCTGAAGAACACAACAGACCTCTACATTACTTAAATATGTTCTTTAGGGTTTCCCATTTTAAAAAGTGGCTAAAAAAACTTGAACTTAGTTTCATTAAACCAAATTATGTTTAAAAATGATTTCTTGTGGGATGTTCTACCTGACCAAATATGTGTACTCAAATGATAAATGTGACTTTTACAAAATATTTGTAATTCTAATCCACAAAGCACTGCATGAGCATTATAGCACAACTCCTGTGTTTCATATGTATAATGCTCCTTTTTTCTGAATTTATACCTCATGTAATAAAATTGTGATTTTGATAGAAGACTGAAGGGTAGAGTGTAATTTATATTATTTTCTCCCTTAACAAATGTTTTCAAATTTTGTCAAAGTGCTGGGGAAAAAAAACACCCTAAAACATCATGCAATATGTGGGGAAAAATACTTTTTCATTGCAATCAATACAACAGCAGCCAATGCAAAGTACTTACAGGCGGGGCGGAGGAAGGGTCAGGGTTAAGATTTTCTGGGATGCCTTCCATCCACTCACTCCTTGTTTTTGATGTTGCTGAGGGCTCAGAGGCAGTCACATTTTTGATCGGGGTGTCGTCCATTCCATAACCATAAGCCTGAATAGCATTTCCTGCAGAGATAGAGAATAAAGTCATTTGTTTTCTTACTTACATCCCGGCAAGAAGCCTGCTAGCAGACAGACAGCTCTAAGTCATCTTCTTGGTCTCCAGCCCAGTTGTTTGCATCCCAGGGTATAAGGCAGGGAAAGAGAACAGATTGAAAAAGCAAGGGGTAGAAAAAATAAAGGACGTTTGAAATTTTTTTTCATTTATTTAGTTTTTTACAGGTGTCTACAGGAATTAATCACATCAGCATTGTTGCTTTTTAAATCCTTCATAAAATGCCACAAATACCAGCTTATGGTTGATAATGTAAGATATTATTTCAACAGCCGTCTATGTTTGTGCTGTTCTTTGAACAAGTAATTATCCTTCTATTAGAAAATCCTGTGGAGAAAAAAAGAAAATATTTATCGAACACTGACAACTGCGGCTCATGGTCTCGTCTCATTACAAATTTGCTTTTATGTAGCATCTGCTCTGAAAGCTGCAACAATCCAAGAAACGAGAGAAGGGCCACACTGCAGATGATGAACAGTTTTTGTTTCCCGACACACAAACAGACTCAGAATTTACAGGAAGTGGAAAATCAGTTAACTACAGAGGACACTGGTTACACAAATTGTTGAGACTTTGAGCTGGAAGATTGCATTGAACAGACGTTTTTCACTGTGTATGTGTATACGTAGGTCTGCAAGAGTGTGATAAATCAATGTAGAGTCAGCTACTTCAACTAGATATAGTAACACGGAGCTGAGTCTCTTTTTATTGTTCATCCATTCAAAATACTAAGCCTTTCTGCTCAGCCAGAGAGAAGGCAAAGCATGAAATTGCTTGGCAACCATCTCCTTTATAAGGTCATCTTTTAGAGATGACTTTGAATAGATGTGTGTGATTGATCAAATTCAAAGTATCTCCAAACAGAGGAGAAATGGCATTTGTTCCACCCCCATACAAGGCACTGACAAGATGCTAGGTAATGCCTACACATCTAAAGGCATAAAACTCCAGAGCTATATTGGCCTGACCTACTAACTATTGCAGTACCTTTAAAATGAAACATTCACACCCCTGAACTTTGCAGTATTTTGTCACATATACGTTATCCTATTTTCTGGAATTTCTTGTGATAAAGCAGCAGTTTCACGAAGAGACAAATCTGAAAAGTTTGGCATGGGTGTGTCTTCAGACCATTTTATACTTGAACAAATGCCAACACGAACAACGTTTCTTGAAAAGTCCCCTAATAAGTTAATTTCTGTATATCTTTAGAAGGGATATCTGTTGCAGCATTATGCTCAGGGGATGTTAGCATCTAAAAAAGATTAAAAATTGAGTTTAGCTTAACTTCAAAGATGAAATAGACCCAAGACATACAGACAGAGCTACAACGGATTGGCAAGTTTAAAACATATTTTTAAGTTGGAATGGCAATAATTAAAACCAACGTTAACTTTTTGAGCAAGTATTTGCTTTAAATTTAATGTCCACAAATGATCTTTATCTAATCTAAGAGTTTCACCTATTTTACAAGGAAATAGGCACACATATTTGTCTGCAGATTGTTGAAGCTTGTAGAGACATACCCCAAATGACTTGCTTGTTATTGCAGCAAAATATGGTTCTCAAAACCAGGAGGCTCAATGCATGTGAATTATACACAAGTTTGGCTATTTTTTTGTTTTATTTATACACTTTAAAAAGCATAATTTGTTTTCCGTTTTAAATGAGCATTTATTTTATTTTAGCCTAATGCAGTAATCTTCATAGAAATTAGTCTGTGGTTATTCTGTAACCAAATATAAAAAATATAAAAGAGGCACTTATAATTTCCTACAAATTACAAATAAGCAAAAAAAAAAAAATATATAATTCCTTTACAAAACTTTTATTAAAACTTGTGCTTGACAAACTTGACAATGGTTCAAGCTTCTCATATACAGTCAAGGAAAAAACTTAAAACTTTTTTTTGTCTGTTATGTTCTTTTGTGAAATTATAAGGTACAAAAAAAAAAAAAAAAAGAGCGCTCCAAAAATTTGCTTCCATGACTGTAACTTCCAAGCCAACAGTGAAGAGCTTGTGGACAGCTGGATATCCATTTGTGAGGGTCAGCTAAAGCTATATAGCCGTCTACTTAAAGAAAGTTCAGATGGGGTTGGGAATAAAGTCATAAATCAAACTGGCTAGATTGAGATCATCCACATCCTTTTCGGAACCTAACCTGTTCAGCTCAATTTCCAATGTGCTCTGAAGCTTGTTGCACTTGCTGTTCGATTCCTAAATGATTCTGGACAAGATCTCTTTTGACCCTGAGCATTGTCCTGTCTGCAGACACTGAAGTAAAGAGATAAAGGCTTTAGGAACAAGAATAAGAGGAGGGATAGATAGCATGAATCAATATCTAGTCTCCACAAGTGACTTATTTTACTCTTGCTTAGCTAGAAGACTACACATGTTAAACATTTTCTGATAATTTAAACATTTTGTTATATTTTTAATAACTGGTAGAGCTAGAAAAAAAAAACTAGAAATATAAATACAGAAGGAAACCTTGTTGAATTACATTTTTTCTTTGTAATCCAGTCATGCTTCAACTCTTCCTACATCATTCCAATATTGCTGTTTGCTCATGTACCATGAAATTAAACAACAAAACACCAATACCTTGAGCTGTTGTGTTTGTTTTCATTAGATACAAAAAATACAAAATATGCATTTGCAAATAAATTTTATATAACAATGCTTTTTGTTAAAACATTAAGCAGTTAGAGAACATGGATGTTAACATGACCATTACTATGACACACTTGAAAATTCATTGATCTATTGCTTATTGCATGAGGAGGAACTGGAGATGAAAGGTCAAAGGTGTGATACGCTCTAAATAACTGCCAGTTTTTAGAAACCACAACGTAATAAGAAACATTAATTGGCACATAATGTTGGACTTTAAAGGTTACTTAAGAAAATAGATTTGCAATTTAAACATGCACACATAGATTATCATATAATTTCCAAAGATTTCCCAGAGAAACAGATGAGGTTTGCAGTAATTTACAGCCAGATTTAAATCATTTAGCCAAGCTTATTTAAGCTTATCAATCTGGCTTTTATATACGGTACCATTTCTTCACTTTGAGAAACAGTGAAAAAGTAATACAACAATAAAAAAAACAAAATTTAATGCCATTTTTCTTGTAGATTTTTCCAAATTTAGATAATCTGCAGCTAAAGTAAAGGGCTATTAAAAACCTATATTTGATAGTTCCAAGAGCTAATTAAAATGTAAAATAATACAACTATTTTTTAGGTGATTCATTTATAATTTTGTAAGATCTTAAAAAATTGTGATCTAAGAAATCTTTGCATGGGATGGTATTAGGATCCTCTTAGATGGCTTCTTCTACATCAAAAACTAAGAGCAGCGTTTCAGACTTATTTTCTTCCACTAAAGGTTATGCTCCTTAAGTTCGTTTGTGGACTGATTGAGCCCAAGGAAGTAATTTGATTTTTTTTTTCTGCCGTGGTCAAGGATAAAAAGGGGTGATCATTAGATAACTATAATAACGCCTCTGGTCAATGTGGTGCTTTAATGAGATTTAAGGATGTTTAATCCAAGCATTGCAGAAATTACCTGCACAGAGCCCACACTGAATATACAAGTGCATCTCTTTGTGAATGAAATAGTAAGAGACATTTGAAAAGGCACTTAAAAGCAGCTTTATTAAAACAACCCTAATTTTAAGGAAAATTAAGAAACTTTAGAGCCAAACAAGATAAGAACATCAAGTCTATGTGCCATTTAGAGTGTAACGTTATTTGTAGATAAAAAAGTTTGGATTAATTGATGATATTTCATATTTGCACACATTATGTACCAATCATGCATAACGATACAAAATCTAAAAGGTGAAGCAAATTACATAGATTTTCTTTCTATACTGGCGCCTGCTCATATGTGGTTTATGCTAGTAAACATATAGTTAAAAGTAAGGAACCTGGGCAAGAGCAGGGATTTTAGAGAGGTTTACAAGCGCAAAAATTTTATTGCTGGTCAGCTGGGTTGGAGCATCTCAAAACTCAAATTCCTGTGGTGTGTGGCTGGTCTGCTATAGTCAGTATCTATTAAATGTATCCCAGGAACAAACATGACCCTGTTGTTGTAATCAAAAACAAGGGTCATGGGCAGCCGAGACTCATTGTTGCACAATGAAAAACGAAGGCTAACCAATACAAAAAAAAGAAAAAAGAAAAAAGTTTTGTTAACAAAGAAATAGTCATAATGACACCAAAGAAATCAAACAGAGAATAGATCTAACAAAACTATCTTCTGGGGTTCTGGATTGAAACAATGAGACAGTGAGACAGACAAGTGAAAACATCCATAAGCTGGTTGAAAGAGCATTTTTCTGCTTGAGTTGAAAATAAAAAAAAAAATCCTTATGTTCACACAAACTAATTTTGAACTAAAAATATCCATCTTAAGTGGCAGTGCTGGCATGTACCTACTGTACCATTTAAAAAAATAAAACATATTAGTATATTACATATTTCAATTGGCTAATACTACATGAAACTAAAACTAAGCTCCAACAAAGATAGTAAGCATCAGAGAGAAGAAAATATCTAATGTGGCATATTGAAGATTTACAGTATTTTAGCCTCTAGTTTGGGAAACAACCCTTTTATTCAGCTTATCTGTAGTTTTCTATCGTTATCTTCACAATAACAAAACCCTTTATAAAAACGTTATAATGGCATGCAGATTGGCCAAATTTGAACATTTATTGTAATGACGTCGTTTTTGTGTAAAGTATAGTGCCTGGTAAGAAAATTGAAGTTTAGGTTCTTTTCCTCTTGACTGCAGCGACGAGATGCTGCATTTTGTGTTATTTTTCAAGACGCCTCCTCAGCTCCCAGCTCTCATCCCTCAGCCTGCACACTCAGCTAAAACGGCCCAGCAATCTATTGAAATGGTCTGAAAGCATTATCCACACAATGGAACATGTTAAAGGCAATGGTGTCCTGATAGGCCTGATGACAGAGCTTGCTATGCCATAACAAGGAAGGTGTGAAAAAGGCATGATGATATATTCGAAAATACCCCCTCCCCCTTCTGCTGCACTGTGTTATGTATTAGATGTATAAATGATTTGTATTTGACTATAGCTTTCCCCACTATTTCTTACATTTCCCCTTTTCATGACAATGCTCTTCCTACAAGGATAAGCTCTTTTAGATTAAAATGTGAAAATGACATGCAAATTGTTTCTTTCTATCAAAGCCTGGGTCGATTTTCCCCATTGGAGAATCAGACGTAATAAAAGTACTTCCCTGTAATAAAACAAAGAGTGTTCTACAGTATCATTTTGGCTGGATAAATATTTCTGTGGAAAAGTTGAAAAAGTATGTTGCAATTATGGTAATTTTAAGGCTCTGTGCCATGATTCACTCAAAAATCAAAACCTAAAATATCATTTTGTGGTCTGATCCCATTGGCTTAATTTTCTCCAATATCAACTGCAATTAAGTGATTCATTTTAAACTTGAACACAATTAAGATGGTGTTGAAAAACAGCCTTTATAATTAAAAAGATGTACTGTCAAAAAGCATATTGGATTGTACATCTGTAACGACATACTGTATATTTAAAGACACTACATTCTGCAATTACACACAAAAAAGCTAATTAAACAGACTTATGGCACTTGAAATAGTTGTCTGTACTGTATTAGCCCACAATATTTGAGGTAATATGTTGAAACATAGTAACACTATTGCTCTTTTGGAACCAACAGTTGAATATAGAAAAAATTTAAATGAAACAGCAAAAGTAATGTTTGCTTCTGTTTCCTCGAACTCCAGTCGAACTCGCAGATGGCCGCTTACACTGAGCCTTTTTCTGACTGAGGTTTGATCCTGTTAAAAGGGAGTTGTTTTCTTGCATACTTGGTGTGAAGGATTTCTGTCAAGTTAATGAGTCCTTGCAATCAGCTGGTTTTCCTTAATCAGGGCATACACTGTATGATTTTTTGCCCTTTCAGTTTCAGCCTCATGGCGTGTCGTGCAGTATACAGGGGGTAACAAGGGGCGATTGGCCTCTCACAATGACCTCCCGATTAGGAATCGTAAGGTCGGGAGAAAATCAAATGTTTGAAATTCAGTCGGCCGTCATAAGATCGCATCGGAGCGTCAGGCCTCAGAGTGTGAGAAAATGCGTCGTGAGCTGTGAACTTTTAAACCCTGCAGTTTCGTCGTACAGTTTGAGCTGAAACTGTACGACAGAAAAGTTTGAATCAATTTGACTGTATGATCTGGATGAATTGTTTCTGTAAAGTGCCTTGAGATGACATGTGTTGTGAATTGGTCCTATATAAGTAATTTAGATTGAGTTGAAAATTTTATATAATTAAAACATATGTTTCATTAACTTGGCAAAAGCCAGATTGATAGAATTAAAATTGAACCACACGAACGGGTCTTAAAAGCCTCATGTATAAAATGCTTGCAAAAGGGACGGATATTCAGCACAATTGTTCGAGCTGATTGGGTATCTGCCTCCTATGTGGAGTCTTTAGCCAATCACAGCACCAGGAGCAATTAGATTTTTTTTTTTTTTTTTTTTTGAATAGTGAAGTTAACGGATAAATCAAACTCTTACCAAATGCAGTTAGGGGGAACACAACCATCTTCTCATCCACAAAGGGGAAAAAAAGTCCTTTTGCTTGTTTTTTAAAAAGAAATAAGGGTAAGCCTATTCAAGCTAAAACCAGCATAGTCATATTTGTTTGCTCCAGACTTCTGTATCTGGTTGATGTATTACTATCATGCACGTCAATGCATTTCATTGGTCCAAAACATTACTGTATCAAGGCTAACACATCTGCTGCCTCGTGGCAAGATGTATTTTCGTGAGTTTATGAATTCACAAATCTAGCAACAATTGATCTTGCTTGCAAGGTAAATGTTTCATTGCTGTTCTTTAATTTTTATTATGCTCATGTCTCTGGCGGTAACAATAAAAATCAAGATAAAAATTTTTATTTTTACCAAAAAAAAAAATGGAGGCAGCTTTTACACAGCTGTTGTAATCTGACATACAATTTTTGGGCTTAAGTGTAATAGTTTTAATTTAAGTGTTTTATTTAATATACCTTAGAATAAGACGTTATGTAAAAAAATACAATCAACTGTAGATATAAAGTACCTTCCCTCACAAGTTAAAAGTGCATTTAATGAAAGAGATTTCATCAACACTAGCTGTACTCAACCTTTGATCTGGTCAAATTTTAGATTTGGACCTTTACACATATGATTTAAGAACTCCTACATAAGGCTATCTTGCCTCTAACACCTGTAATATTCCCTCACTCCACAGTGCTCAAAAGTCAGCCACAAGCATTGCATCTTGTTTGGAAGCTCAGCAATGGTAAAAAGCAGAACTTGACATGAAACCATTAAAGATGCATTAGATTGAAGCTCCTGGCTCCTATAGCTCAGGCATGTTTGGAAGAGTAACTACTTTATCACACACTTTTACTCTCATCAATTTTACATGAATGCTGTGAACCCTGATCAGCAGCAAATTACATCTCTGGTGTGTGCAGAGTGTGCATGTATCAGAGTGACTTACTTAGGCATGTGTTGTCAGTAAAGTAACGCAAGAAGTTCATGCATTCCTCCTCTTGGTTTCCACTGCCCATACAGTCACACCACGGAGAGATGGTCCAGTTGGTGAAGCTGTTGTCAACATAGTTGGGGGTCATTTCCGTCCCTGCATGAGGGCACAGACAAACAAACAGACGGCTGCATGAGAATAGTCGTGGGTCACTAATGGACAGTAATGGACTACATTTATTGCAAGTAATATGTAAAATAGGACACAACATATTAGTCACAAGAATTATTTTGCATTGTTGGAGTTTATAGGAAGCATTCTATAATGCTTTATTTAGATGTAAAGAGGCCATTATGGTATAAATGTTTTGCAAGCAAATGCTGTAGGAAGTGTATGCCCTGTTAGAATCCAGCACTCCTGCTACTAACATTTCCCTTTTCAAATGTCTCTCTCAGAGTCAATGCTTTTAGTAGGCATAATAAGCATTAGATGCACTTTGTGTGATATTTTACAGGAAAACCTAAGAAGCAATGTGACATAATATCAATTGAGCCTACATGATGTATGACATATCGTTGTAAGCACAGCTATGTCCTGCTTTATGGACACTTCAGCAACCATTAGTGCAAGATCTTTTTTTATTATAAAATTTGCATTTACAAATCTTTTTAAGCCCTTTGATGCTACATAACTTCATGTACTGATGCTGTTTCCTGGAACATGAATATAGTCTTTTACTAGTCACATTATTTGCACAGCATTTATTATGTGCAAACAGATGGTTGTCAAGGCTTTTAATTAAGTAAACATTTTCTCACTGCCTGTGCTTCTTAATTTTCTTCTGGTACCAAACTGACGTCCAGTGTGCTGGCAGAGATATCAAACCAGGAGGGAAAAAATGTGGTTTCTAGTTCCTCTGGCTGTTTGATGTGATAAAAGGAGAGTAACTATACTATGTTTTATTTCAGGCTCTTATAATTATGCTTTGCTTAATGATAAACAGTGCATTGCAAACTAATTCTTTTTTTTTTTTTTTTTTACAAAGTTCTTTAATTTACCACTAGTTTTTTTGTATGTAATAGGCAAACACAACAGAATAACAGTAAAGTTGAACCCCAGACTGGCAGACTGGGGGTAGTGGTTCCCCTCCATAAAAAGGGGCATCAGAGTGTGTGATCCAACTATAAGCAGATTACAGTTCTCAGCCTCCCAGAGAAGGCCTAAGCCAGGGTACCGTAGAGGTGTGTCCAGCTGATTGTTGAACCTTGGCATGAACTGAATGGAACATCTTGGACTCCGGTAGGCTGGCCTCTGTCAGTGGTCCTGTACATTACCTTTATGTACAGGATTGCTAGCTTCAGCCAAAAGCCGGAGCTGGTCTGCTATGGGGACTAATGGATTTCTCCCAGATGACAGGTTCTGCTGGCTCCCTCCCACTAAGATCTACAGCATACCCTGGGGTGGTTCACAGCTGCGTGCAAAGTGGCCGTGATATAATCAGCTCCCCCAAGTGCCAGGCCAAAGTCCTTGACCGGAAAACGATGACTTGTCCCCTTCAGGTTGGAGAAGAGTTCCTGCCTAAAAAGGAGGAGTTCAAATTTTTTGGGGTCTTGTTCACAAGTGAAGGAAAAGTGGAGTGAGAGATCAATAAATGGAAAGGTACAGATGCTGCTATAATGCTGACACTGCAGTTGTTTTTTGTGGCAAAGAGAGAGCTAGGCGAAAGGACAATGCCTTAATTTATTATTCCGTCTAAGTTGCTACCCCCTCCTATGGTCATGAAATCTGGATTATGACTGACAGAACAACATCTTTTATACAAGCAGCTAAAATAAACTTTCTCTGCAGGTCAGCTGAGCACTTCCAGCGATGAGGAATTCTGTTGTCTGAGAAAGGATCTGTGTCAAGCCACTTTTCCTCCACATCAAGAGGAGCCAACTGAGGTGGCTCAGTAAATGCTGGAGGGGATATGTCTCTTGGCTGTCCTGGGAGCGCTTCAGGCTTTCCCAACCACAGTTGGAGAAGGTGTCAGGGGAGAGGGTGGTTTTAAGTCTCTTCTGAGACTGCCGCCTCCGCAAACAAGTACAGGATCAAAAGAAGTATGAGTACAAGTACAAGTACGTGGACCTTTTCATCTTCTTCACCCACAGTTTAAAAAACTACTATGTCACTTACAGCCATATACTCACCAATGAGCCTTGCATAAGAGTTTAAGCAGGCTTGGTGATTATCTTGGTTGGGACAGGTTCCCACAGTGTTGGGGGCCATCCAGCAGTTAGTCATATAGTCAGCCAGTCGAGACCTGAAGAAAGAGAAAAAGTGACAGACGTATGAATGCATTAGTAAGAAACAAACACAAACATGCAATACTGAGCTGATGCTCAAAACTTTCTTTTTTTTAATTTTAAGTGTAGTTTTTGGATATGACCGGTAAAATGTTAACTGTTTTGAATCTTCTACAACAGTTCCTATTGATGTGTTGCTTTCTTCAAGCACCACTGTTATTGATATCTTTCCTTTGCAATATATATTTGGTGGTACATCTATATGCCGATGAACATAACACGCATTTTTCAGTTTTCCTTGCTATTCAGAACATCTAATTTGGGTTCAGGTTAATGAAAATGCATTTGTACCTGTGGTTAAAGTAGCTCTGAAACAAAACAGCACATACAGCTTGGCACCTAAACTCAAGAACAATGAAATATACTGTAGCGTCAAGGAATGCAATCGTAATGGACAAGAGAGAATAGATATAAATAAAATTATCAGCTCATATAGTAACCAAGTAAAACCTAAATGCAAAAATACTCAGCTATAAAATCACAGTATTGCAGTATTGAGAGTGAAGCTTCGTCAATCAAATTGTTGGAAAAAAGTCCTTGTATTTGACTTAATTTTCAATATAGGTCATATTTTTTTCCACTGCTGTCTTCTGCACTTAAGAAATCTCTGTCTGGAGGTAGAGACTAAATACCATACGCAAAAAGAGGGAGTCATTTCACAAAATAGATTCAGCTATCCATGTTACCTCCTTCATATACAAGGTTGCTGGATTCAATTGAGGCTCCTAAATCAGTACACTAAACACTTTCTCAACTGTCTCCCAAAATTCACCCTCACCATAAGGCAAAGGAACAGTAAAGAAATAAGTTGTGCTTCAATGTGTTTGTGATAAGAGCGTTAAGCCTGTGTGGGCCCCCAGGGTGGCATTGCTAATCCACTTAGCTAGGTGTAGGGGTAAAAATGTGTGCAAAGTTACCCTGCCTTTGCTGGTTACATCACAGATGCTCACAATTAGTGCACATTTGTCTCTTTTTTGTTCATGTGTCATGAGTCATTCACGCTGGCCTGGTGTGACCACATTTTCAGCTTTAAGTTCGGAAGCACTTAAAAACCCGCAAGGTTGTTTCACCACCAATTAACAGGAGCTCTCACATATCTTTATGGTACCAACTAATACAGGTTTTAGTGATGAGTTAAGGTTAATTATGTTAATTAATGTTAGGTTATTTTTTTATTTCTAGAAACTTTTCAAAGGTAGCAGAGGTTCCAGAGTATTGCAGATATTAGCCTCCCTTTGGCGACAAACTGAAATAAATCCAATGTTAATGACACAGAGAAGAGGAAAAGCACTCTGCTGCTGCTTTTGCACAAGTTTTTTGTTTGGAGTTGAGATATTTAAGTTTTGTGAAATTTGATCAAATATTATTTCAACTTAAGAGATGTTAAGGAGTTGTTCCTGGGTGTAAAAAAATCAACTTACAGTACTGTGTTTGTTACAGTTATGCATCATAACAAGCATCTCTAACAAGCAACTCTTCTAGTTTCACAGCCTTAAACACCACACTTAAAAAACATAGGGGAAAAAATCCTGATTCACAACAAGAGGAGCTAAAATTCTCTTTAAAAGGAACCCCAGAATTATACTAGCAGAGCTCCTCAAATGTGTAGCCACCTTAGCAGTGCAATTGTAGAATTTCTCTCAGTTCTAGAAAATGCACAATAAATCCAGTGAACCTTTGGTCTTTTTGCATAGTGTTTGATGTAGAACGAATATGAAGTAAGAATCAATCCTTCTCATGTGATTAAATCACTGATGTAGGCGGAAGCAGCTTATATAAATACAGTACATGAACGTCAACAACTCCTTGGGGAAAAGAAGGCCATCCAACATGTAAGTCAGGTTCACTATGAGTATTTTCTAATTCCTTGTCAGAAGAATGACGCTAAATCAAACATTTTAAACACATAACCAGTGGATTGTTGCAACAAATGCTTAGTTTTTTTGTGATTTATTTAATTAAAATATACACATAAAGACTATCTTTTTTCCTAATAACATCTGAATATTACTCAAATATTGGTCGTGGAGTAATATTATACTCCACGGCTGATCCTGACACAAATAGAAAACCTTGGCTCATGCATTTACCACATCCCGCTTGTAACATACATCATCAAAACACACCAACAAAGTGCTGATTTTGCAGATGGTGGTGTATCAGAATTCTGTAAAAGAACAGAATATTAATGTTATAAAAATATGCATGAAGCTTTGTCTTTAAATAAACACTGTAACATGGTGGCACAGCTCAATCACTTATTCATCAATTTCTCTACAATTTCCCTGAGTTCCTGCAGTAATTGGATGAGATGAAGAATGCACTGCAATGACAGAAAGGCTGTGTCTGCATACTTATCAGCTAACATATAATCTTCTTGTTCAGCAGGAAGTGCACTTTTATTTAGAAAGGATAAAGAAACTAGTTTTGTATACATGGTATAATATTCTCTCGGGGATCAACATGATATTGTGTGGTATTCTATGCCTGTAGAACAGCACAGGCATTCAGCTCAGGGTTATTAAAATAACTGATTACATGTCTCTGTCTGTTGATTACTTTTTTTAAACTATTTTCATTTATCACTAGCTTACTGTATAGGCTTGGGCTATCTTGTATTCAACACAGATAGCTTAAAGAACATGAGATGCAGGGAAAACTAGAAATAGACTAATACAACTTTTATAGTCATTTTGTATTCACAAAGTGTATACACAGAGTGTATGCAAAAACTAAATAAGTACAGATTTTCAGACAGTAAATAAACATTTCCATTCCATAAAATCCAGCAGTGATCAAATGTATGCAGTGTGGGACAAGAGACACCATGAAAAAAATGCATTGATATAGAAGTTTGGAGCATTAATATATATAGTGCAAATATGCAGTATTTTTGAGTGGTTGTCATCTGTGTTATGCAGAGTTTGTGACATGATTTAAAGTTTCTTTAACAGTTCAGCACTGTGATGGCGGTGGGGATGAAACCGTTGAAGAATCTGCTGGACCTGCATCAAATGCTGTGAAGCCTTTTCTCAGAGGGCAGTGTGATGAGGATGTGAGGGGTCATTGATAATGTTACAGGCTCGGAACATACAGCGCTGGGATGAAATGGAAAGGAATGAAATGAATGAAAGGGAAGAGGAGCCCTGATGACCCTCTCCGCTGTTCTCACTATTCTTCTCACTTTCTTCCGGTCTGAGGCGCTGTAGCCTCCACACCACACAGTGAGACAAATGTACAATATATGTATGACAAATAGATATTTACTGTATGAATAGTGTTCCTAGGTTTGCATGTTTCTTTTCTAACAGCTATTCGAAATAGGAATGGATCAACCAGAGTACTGACATAGCTCCAAAATTCCACAAAATAAGTGTGGAAACCAGGGACAGATCTACAGTGTGTTGAGAGACACCTGCAACATTGTGCCTCCTTTGAATTCCACTTTGTTACATTTTCTACTACATTCAGTACTGGCGGATATATCTTTCTACATTTCCTCCAAACTACTCAAAAATGTTTTGAAACAGAAATATTAGATTTATTTTCATGTGAAATAAACTTTGGACCATTAGAAGTGCTTCTGTCAACATTTTTTAGGAGCATTTTCAAGTATCACACTAAAGAGATTGAAAAAACCCCAGCAAAGTTCAAATAACCATACTAATTTTCACCAAAACGTTACGCTATCTTGAGGTGCTTTTTGAATAAAAAAAAATGCATAAAAGGAGATGAAAGCAAGATTTAACATAATAAATATTTACCTCACATGACTGATCAGTCGGTGACCCGTTAGAATCATAAATATTTCTCAATGTCTCATGATAGCATACAACATCAGTAATGTCAGCTGATATGATAAAGTAAGTTTAATTTCCCTGAATGCAACACATTCGTTAAAACCTCGGTGTTGCATACTAGTTTGCTGCCACTATTTCCCTTTTATCACAGTCAAAAATAGCATACACATAAAACACTTTACATCGCCTTGTTAACTTAATCTTATGGATGTTCTACCGGTAATTAGCCTTTCCTTTTTTTTTACGCCTTAAAATTTTGACATGATATTTGGCTGGAAACGTGGCAACTGAGTCTTGTATTTATTATCTTAAGCTCAGGTAAGACACTGTTGATACTGTCCGTGATTCAGAAGTGGCCTTATACAAGGTTTGTGACAGTTCCTGCACATGCCCTGAATATGTCTGTGTGTGCTGGCATAGTTTTTCCTTCTACTTAGTTTTCCATGAATTATCATGGACGCAGCTTTCTGGGAACAGCCTGCTTCTTTAAAAATGACCTATTTTCTAAAACTGCAAAAATGACATTAACAGTCAAGTCAAAACTCCCTTTAATATCAAGGTGATTATTTCAGTTTAATCAGTTCTGAGCACATCCACCCGGCTGCCTATCTGTGCATTAAGTTTAAGGCTTTTCTGTCCTGGTGAAAATCCTGGTAGACACATAGTTGTCCTTGCACTTCAATACAAACATACTGACATATAAAACCAGGATGCATAATAAATTGCATAATCTAAAATCATAAAAGTGTCCCTCTCAACACATGCACTCCCTACTCAGAACCCCCTTTTCACTCATCAGCATTCAGAGGAAAAAAGCCACTTGTTCCCACAGTAATGTAAAAAATGATAGAAAAAAAAAATAGAACAGGCTTAACAGAAGAGAATATTTCTGCTGTGCCTAAACAAAGCAACCTTTAAAAGCACCCTTTTTTCTAATCATAAAGGGGAAATAAAAAGTATTTAACTTTTGTGTGAACACAGAATGTAAATGTCAGATTTCTGCTGGCACAAAGGATTAAAGTAACCGAACGAGCGCAAGTTTCTTTTTAGCCGCGGAGCTCTTTCCGACAATGATGGCTTAAAAACAGTAATTTAAAGTTTAGAGAGGTGTCCTGAGTGTTCAGACAATGGCGTTCCAACACCAGGATTCGGTGCAT